ATGCAAATTTACGTATCTAGCGTGCGCAATCCTATGTTCTGTGGTTAAGAAGACTCATGGATTACAAGACCAGACACAAGACCATGCATAAGACCATTTATAAGACCCATCAAAAGTAACAGGGTGAACAATGACAAAGAAATGCTTTTGTTGCGGTTCATCCGAACAGCTTGTGACTTGAATTTAGACAGGAGGTCCTGTGTTGATCTTGTGATGGTCTTGTGGGGACATGTGATGGTCTGAAGAGGTCTCGACTACAACACAGTCATGCAAGATGCTCACTTAGAACTCCTCCAAGCTTCCTGGAGTGGTCCTTTTCATTTTGCCACAGGTAACCCTGAACCCAAAGACCTCTGAAACTGCTTTTCGGAGACAGGGAAACAGTCTGTGAACAGGTACAAGTTCACACAACATCCTCTAACCCTACACTGTGAGGACTTTTTTTGTTTGTAGGCCAATACTAGGGATGAAAAGCATAGCACACTCAAATCGGTACATTACCCTTCTCTTAAAAGTAAAGTAAATGCATGGCACTTACATGCTTTAACCTTGACAAAAAAAACAACTCGGAGTCCATTTTAAATTCTCCTGAAACTTTACATGGAATCCCAACCCTGTTTGCATCTTGCAAAGGGGCCCCCAGGAAGAACACTTTACCAGCATGTAACAGAGGTCACCCTGGTTGAAGTAACTTCATTATATAACAGCAATTAAGAATGAAGATTGTTTTTTTTAAATACCGGTGAGTTTCTCGGCGGGCACCTTGTCCTGGGGCGAGACGCTGGCAGGCCTGAGGAGTGACTTGAGCTCTGAGGCAATGGCATTGAGAAGCAGCTTACAGTAGCAGTCCACCGACTTCCCTGCACCGCTGGTGGTCAGTCTGGATTTGCCGACGAGGAAAATGAACAAAAAGAAACTGTAAAGGCTCCTTTCCGTCTGCGCGTTTTTTTTGGGTGCGTTGCGTACACGATGCGCTCATGTGTTTCACTTTCACGGACACAAAAATCGACTCCATTAACATAACACATGTATGCGCTGTGCTCGGCCATCAAAATTGCCCCGGGAGCGATTTTGATGGATACGCAACACTTAGTGCAAGTGTTGAGGCACATATAGAAAAGTGCCTTTAGACTCTGGCAAGTTCAATGCTAAACACTATGTTCCGGTCAAAACACCTGTCACCAAGCATTAATGTTCCGACCATTTCATGCAACATTTTCATTCCATGTTTACACTGTCAATGAACCCTGCCAATTGATCCTCACAGCTATGTCTTGGTAACTTCAGTTTGAGTTTTCAGACATTTCTAAAGAGGTAAACATTTAGACTCACTTAGTCCTGCAATGCAAAACGCTCGTGATATTTGCATAAATTGTATGTAACATTCTTCCTATAAAACTGATCTTCCACAGACAACCTACAGCATTACGGAGGGACTGTCGATAGCCTTTGACACCTGTCACTCCAGCAGGCCAACTCAGATTTCTTAAGCATTGCTTTTCAAGCTGATTACCCTAGCTCGCAAAGCAGGAACAGGTGGCGGGTCTATCTTCCCGACTCCTAAATAAATGCGCATGTACTTTCAAGGGGCATGAAGCCCCATATAAAATAAAAAGAGCCAGGCTCTGCCTTCCTCAACCCTGCAAAATCCTCCTTGGAGTTTGCTGAGATTCCAGGAGGGTTTGGGGTAAAGGGGTGGGGGGGGTCCGTACCTGTGGAGGGAGCCCTTGACGGCCACCAAACGGGAGAAAAGCAGCTCCTGGGTGGACTTGGCTTGTCGGTTGAAGGCCTCCGTCAGCCGATCTATCACCGTGTCCACCATGCCTGAGGGCAATGACAAGATAGTGACCGATTCATTCAAGAAAACTAGCAACGTCTGGGGGACCACATTTTCAATTAAACTGGACCAGCCAAAGAACTTACACCATCCCTTGGTGACGAATACAAATAAAGAAGCTCAATTTATTGCTCAGTCATGAAAGCCTGACAAGAATGGTTTATATTGCAGCTGTGCTGAGCTGCCATTTCTCTGAGAGGGAGTATTTATCCGTTTCACAGGAACAAGACGTCAGTACATTAACTAAAGGCTTACTTCAGAGGCCAGGTTTGCTTATAACAAAGACTTAAAGACAACTGGCAGTGCATCTCACAAATATTTATATATCTATGTCTTTGAATTCACAAATGTTTACACAGTCTTCTGTGACACTTGGCACAATTTTTCTGCTAACTGTTGAGTCAGAACTTTAAAATGTGGTTCTGGGATCAAAGAAAAAATCATTAATCCATCAAAAAAAAATGGAAAAGAGCATTAAATTGATTGGAATTTACAGATCCTAGCAGAAAAAAAAAAAACATCAAAGTAACCTGGAGTTATAGTGTGGAGCAGGTCCCACCAGTCGTAGCCTGTCACCAGACTATACTCCAATAGGTTCACAACCTGGGCAATGGTATGGGCCCTAGCAGCACCTGTGAGGAACAAGGGGAAAAAAAGACACCTGAATGAATAACGTCACAACGTTTACATTTTAATGAGGTTTGTCGTTTTGCTTTCCTTCAATTCAGTCTCTATTTACATGTGGGTTGGCTTTTCAATACTATTTTAAATTCAACAGGTTCACTTCCCCGATATCCAGTTTTCCTGTGACTTCAAACGAGGTCTCTACAGTGCAGTTTTGTAACTTAATGCGTACAATCATCTCGATGAACTATGAAATTCAATCTTTCTGTTCCAACTTTACCACTCACATAGTCCCATGCAGCATACAGCCATTGAAACCGACTCTTCTGTGTTCCTTGGTCTAGAGCCTGTCCTAGAGTCGGTGCTATCTTTATCAGACACAGCGATCCCACCATGCTACTGTACCCTACAATTCTACATACCTTGGTCTAGAGCCTGTCCTAGAGTCGGTGCTATCTTTATCAGACACAGCGATCCAACCATGCTACTGTACCCCACAATTCTACATACCTTGGTCTAGAGCCTGTCCTAGAGTCGGCGCTATCTTGATCAGACACAGCGCCCCCATGCGGTCCACAGCCATGATGCTGCAACACGTGCTGGACATCTCCATGTACACCAGATGCTTGCCACTGTAGACCTTCTGCCGCTTAGCTGGAATTGTTCCAACAAAAATGGAGATCACATCAGAATCCCCAAACATAAATGTGACCCGCTCTGCAAAAAGGCATATTAAGTCGCACAATGCAAAAACGCATGACGGCCCATTCCATGTGCCGAGGGTGAAAATATTTGGAATATTTTGAGGCCAATTGCCTGACAAGAAAGCCTCCGTTGACAGGGTAATCAAAACCGTATCTAATTTAAGTTTAATGTTTCTGTTCATTATGTTTAAAGGGCATTATTTCAAAAAGCCTGCGTGATAAAGTGAAATTATATGAATATGCAAATGGCAAATAACTCCAAAATGCAAAATGCCACTGGGATGAATTACACATTAAATGAAAGCTTAAGATGCGAGCAATTTGATTATATATCTAACTCAAATTCAAAAAAAGGTGACATAATACACTTTTTTGCAGAGCTGGTCACAGATTAATAAGCTTTAAAAAGAGAACAAACACACGTAAGCAACTCTGAAAATGTCAGGTAATCCTTCGAACATAGCAGTATAAATGACAACTGTTACAGACACTTTGGAATAATTGGATTTCTATTTACCCTGTGATCCTGTGTCAACTTTGATTCCTTCGTACTTGAAAGATGCACATGGTTTCAAAGAGACCCTACAAACGTACAAAATTTTTAATTTAAAACATAAGAAAATGATATTTTGAAACATTCAACTTGAACATTTCCAAAATGCATGGACTACATACTGCGTGGTGGATCACATACTTTGTCAACAACAATCCTACGGAGCTAACGCACCACGAGGGCACAGCTCCTGGCAAATAAGGTATGCACTGTTAGTTTTCATGGGAATGCACACAAAATCTACAGAGCCATGAAGGCCAGGATCAGGGCAACACTGGCATTTCCCATCGACCCAGCCTTCCTCTTTGCTCCCAGCAATAAAGTATTGCTGCGTTTTGCTCCTCATGTATAAAAACCGACTTCTGTCAGTGGTCTACGACTGAATTTACCTGTGGAGTAGTTTGACACTGCCATCTTGGAAGGCTACGGCCATGACCATACCTGGCCCATTATAGATAGACTTCATGGACAGCTTCACTGGCAGTTTTGGAAGGCAAAGTCCAGTCACTGCTGAGGTATTGGTGTAGCAGGAGCCAAACACCCATTTCTGGATTAAACAGGATGTTCAAACATCTGTCAAATGACTGGAAAAACTGGAAAGTCCAACCCAAGACAACGTGCCGGTACTTAAGGAGAAAAAAAGGTTATTTTTCTGGCCTTTCAAAACAGCAGATGACCAAGACCCCTTTGTATACTGACTGTGATGATAACACACCTGAGTAAACTGAAAGTCACAATGATGTCAAGGGACACACATGAATAAACTGACAGTGACAATGGCAAAAAGAGTGACAATGACAATTAAGGACACACCTGTGTGGTTGGCTGTGACTCCCTCGAGGGTGGGGGGCTGGTCTGGAAGATCTTATTCAGGGGGATGAACTCCTTGCTCAAACTCCAAAACTCCACGCAAGAACCCGAAGAACCTTTTGGGGAAATGTGGAGAAAAAAAAAAGGAATTTGAACAATAATGCAATATACATTACATGACCCTGAGAGTGCCTTGCAATATCTCCATTTCCGTGGTACCATTTTGTATGCACGGACATTGCCGACTTGACTCATGTATGTTCAAAATGTACAAAAAACATGAAAGTCACTAAGATAAGAAAACTATCTTTTATTTTATTTGCTCCTATAGATTTCTCAGAAAATTTTCTTGAAATGTTCACTTTCCTAAACAAATCCCTAGCATTTCCTTCCTTTTTGAAATACTATTTGGAACCTCATGCTGTTCAAGCGTTCACTAAAACCTCTTCCGAATTTTTTTTCAAATAGAGATATTTTTAAAACACATCTGCAGAGAAACATTTTGACAGAACACCAGTGCTTATCTCTAATCTGTAATTATCAAGATACAGAGGAATTGACTGGGGGATTGTAAATTTGGGGAGCTTGTTCCTATAATCGAAGGGAGACCTACAATTTAGCTTTTGGATTCACCTTGGGAGATGACTGTGACATCGTGCTCAATAACTGAGGGGTTAATGTTGTGAAAAGAGGGTAAGGTTTTGAGGGAAATTATGAGGGGAACTGTGAGTGTTGTAACACATGACACCTGGTGGATTTAACTTTGCATGGCTAGTTTATCAGTAAGAAAGTCACATTTTCTCACAGTTTTAATTTGAAATTTTAAAAAAATGGGGTCAGTGCAATAAAGAGAGAGGTGCTTTTGTTTTGGGGGACTGACCAGTTTTGCAAGATTGAAATGACAAAAAATAGAGGGGTGCTCAAATATGCAATCCCCATTGACTGAAGTAAGATTTGAACCTGCCACCATCAAAACATCATGCCAGTGGTCTAGCAACTTACCTGTCAACATTTCTGTTTGGTAAGGTCTAGGTCATTCCTGATTTGTACAATATATGCCCATCCTTGAAAGTTGTGCATTCTAAGCCCTGAAACAATGATCGAAGCTTACCGATGGCTGAGATTATGAGTTGCTCCGCTGGGAGTGACGTACTCTCCTCCTCGTAACACTCCTTGTTGATGAATCTCAGGTGCGTGATGGTCACGTCTAAGGACGGTGAAGACATAGAGCAAAAGTTGGGAAGTGACTTCAAAATGTTTCCGAATTGCATTCTCTTCATCCCGAGTCCCTCTACGTTAACTGTTACTGTAGATGTGCCACTCATCCAGACGGGGCATGTAGCTGGAAGAGCGCCCTCAACAGGACTGGACAATTTATGCACACATATTCTGCTATATTTTCTCACGTTCCATTATCGTCAGTTTTTTGGTCAAATAAATCCGAGTTTCTACAGTTTTCCCCCAAAACACACACCGGTAACATCAAAGTGTAGAGGGCAGAAGAACAAAACGATGGAAGAGAGTTGCCAAGGAGACGGAATAAACAAAAAACCTATCAGACGAACAAGATTTCTTGTTCTTGAACTGCATTTGGCCCACACATCCTCATAATCTAAGAATGGTAGGCATAAATTCCCCTTAGTTCGGCAAAACCCTGTAAAAACCTAAACTATTGTTGGATACTGCAGGATAAGGAATAGGGTTGATACATCACAAACAATTCTCCCGAGTGATGCATTCCCCACAATCTCACCCTGGACAGAGATCACTCCTTTCAGTTTTCAAACTTCACAATTATTTCTGATTTTGAAAAAATACTAATATATATTCTCTTACACTTGTCTTTGTTACTGAGGTCCACACAGCACTGCACGTGGAGCGAGGGCAGGTAGTCAGTCTCGATGCACAGTTTGTCTGTTTAAGTGCTTCAGTCAAGGGTATTAATCAGATCAGATCGCGGTAATCAAATTTCCAACTTGCGATTCAACGGGAGTGCCTCAACCACGTAAAAAGTTTTCAGCCTGAAGCTCTTCTCTTGGAAGCCAGCGACAGTTTCTTCCTTGTCAAGGGATAATTTCACCGAGATGACAAGTAAATAGAGGAGAGGCGGGAGAGTAACTGAGGTTAAATTTCCATAGGGATGGAGGAGCCTCATTTTTCTAGAGGGGGGGCACTTCATGGTTTGATTATAGTATGGAAAACAGGCCTCTTTTTTTTTCTTCATTTTCCAATTTCTCAGCCCGGGGAGGGGAGGTGATTGAGGCACAGATTTTGGAAAAGTGGGAGTGTCCCTAATGTTGCCCCTCCCCATCAAAAATGCCACTGCCTTGTTCACGAGTTTCGCCTCTGCTTCTGGCAAGTCGCGATGCCGAGTCAAGTAAAGGATACCCTCTTTCCAGCTGAGGACGACTTTGTAAATCTGCACGGGGCTTCGGCAACTCCCATCAGACGTGGCTATCAGGATGTCACCAGCTGAAGAGAAATAAAAGGCTCATTAAGAAGCCTAACCACAAAGACACTGGGCATGACAGACCGAAAGACGCAACCTGATATTTCAACGAAGGAGGCTTCAGACGCGACAGTAAGGACTTGGGACTCGACTGTGAAGACTTTACATTCAAGTTTTTAAAACTGGCCGTTTAAAACAGCTCACAATTAATCACAGGCCTGGCATGAACAACTGAGCAGTGGGGGACTGACAAACTTTACTTGCTCATAAGCTAACAGAGGGCGAGAGGACAGGGAACAGTCGTAGGATGGGAGAGGAGGATGAACGCTGTCACTTACAGCTTGAGTAGGCAATGTCAGCCAGCTCTGCGTGGCATCGCGTGCTGCCCAGACACTCCGTCACCGTGACGGTCCCTCCGCCATTCTTCAGAACTGTCACAGACACCTGCAACAAGTCCGATCAATCCTGAGTGTTTTCAACAGCTGCAAAAACTTCGGTGGCTTACGCTCATTAATCCTTCCTCTCTTTCAGTTTGTAAATGTTGACGTGTTTTGGCAGATGTAGCATAAAAAGTACTGAAACAATTTCAAAAGTCGAACAAGAACCTTCAATTTGCTACCCAAAGAACCTCATATCTCAAGAATCGCACATGAACTTTTCAGTGGGCTTCTCTTCTAAAGAGCTTTGCTGATCTTGTATGGGTATAAAAATATTTTACTGATGTGCCATGACATTAATGGCATTGGAGGCAGTCAAGACCAACCAACATCACAATTAACTTCACACTTCCTTTTCTTCAAAAACTGATTTTACATGATCCATTAGGCAAAGCTGAGGAGAATTGAATTTCAACCTGTCAGAGGATAAAACTCTCTTGACACAAACTTTCATTATTTGCTTTGTACAATGCCTAAATATAAATCCATCATAAATTCTCCCACTTCCTGAATAAATCACGAATCAATTCCCACTTGAATAAATCCTCAACTACAAGTTCAGAAAATGAGTGCGACTGTGAAAAATGGAACTTCCATTTACTGGTGGAATGGATATTCCGTTTCTACAATGCTGTGCAGTGAGACCAAAAATTCAAAGATACGTAAATTTTCACATTACACCTACATATCAAATCATGCATCGTGGACCTACCAGGCCAGTCGAGGTCACCGAGATCCAACCAACGGCAGGTTTGGTGCCCACCTGGGCTAGGGACGGGGTGAACCGAGATCGCGTGAACTTGTCAAGCATGCTCGGCGAGTCAATGTTATCGACATTGTAGGATATCTAAAAAAACAAAATGAATTTGCACACCGACCTGGAAAATTTTCAAAAAGTATTCAAAATGCAATACCGTCCAAGCCTACTGTCAACCACTGGTCCATTCTACCTGGTACCCATGATACATTTTCTTTAAAGGTACATTTTGATACATTTTGTTTACCAGGGAAAATTTACCAGTGCTCGACAAATAGTCATCATTCAAACTCATCCAATTATTTTTGTTCACCAAAAGACCATCCTCAACAGGCTGTGCAGCATAAATAACCTTAATACCAATGTACGACCAGCGCTTTACTTTTGTTACGCCCCAACTATAGCATAAGTCCCAACTATAGTTGGGACAGTCCTGACTGTAGTGCTGCAGTTGGGCTGGACCAACGATTGTTGGCCAATGTCTGTGGGAAATGTCTCAACATTATCCAAGTCAACGTGTCTCACACTTGACACAATTCATCTAAAATGTGGCACTTCATCTCTTCATCTAGCCCTATGACCAATGACATGACATTTGTAAACAATATGACTTTGGCACATGATGGGCACATCATGCAAACAGGACCTCTCTGCTGTACTTGGGCCGGCCCGACTGTAACACTCTAGTTGGGACGGGCCCAACTATAGTTGGGACTTAAGCTTTAGTAGGGGCGTAACACTTTCAAAAGGTTTAACAACTGCTTTACATGATACGCTCTTTCCAGTCTAGTTGTCCAATACTGCAGCAAATGATCGGTGCATCTCACAAGGTACACGTAGGGCGCCCTCAATGGGCTGTGCATAAGGGGGGACTGACCACGCCTACACTGACCTTGACACCGCTGTGCAGCCACCCCAGAGCGACGATGGGCTCCCCTGCCACATGGCTCTCGGCCACGCTCTCCCAGTTGTTGAGCAGGTGGTTCTTCATCTGCCACAGCACGGTGGTCCCCGAGCTGTCCCCAGACAAGAGCTGGGTGCCGCTGGCATTCCACTGGAGCACCTGGATCAGGTCCTTGTGGACCCCGGTTATGCTGGGAGGTAAAAAGTTGTCAAAATGAAAAGTCTACATTTTGCAGTCATCAGGTCACGCTTTATTTTTTAAAACACGCTTTCTTATTTTCTTTTTAATATGGCCACTGAACCAATCATGAAATTCACCTCGTTTTGACCAAGTGATCACGTGACAAAGTGGTTAAAGGCGACGACATCTCATGCAGACTCCGGTCAGGATCTGTAGCGAGCCATTTTGAGGGTTTTCTCTTTTTTGACCGACAAAAAGTCGCAAAATTATCCTGCAACTTTTTTGAGTAAAATCCTACGTTCAATTGCACGAACTCTCACATTCTTTTTGTGGTTCATGCCTCTGGAGGACTTTTTTCAACAGAAACAGTCGAAAATTGCACAAGGTCTGAATCTCGCGAAAACGAATTCACACTGACAACTTAAGCATTGAACCAGACGATGACTTGTCACAGTAACATTTTGAAGTCTCCCAAAACATGTACTACACATGTTCAGTTGATGTGTTCATACGAAGCACAAATCTATCTGGACCAGTTCACTTTCAAACAGAAAAAACCTCCTGGCTCAGGGTAAGCAATGGGGAGTCAGGTTGGCATGGTGGTTCTTTCCTGGCCTTTCAGCTCTGCGGCCCGGGTTCGATTCCCAGCTCGGTCCACGTGTGGATTGGGTTTTCAGTCCCTACCTGATTCTTTGGGTTTTACCCAGAATGTTCCCCTGGGTTTTCCTCCCACCTCTAAAACTGTCTGTTTTTCATACTAGTCTCCTCCTTCAGATGTGGGCCGTTTGGTGGCTGCCTATGGCATCCTTGTAAGCCTTCAACCCTGAGGGACTCTATCGAAAGCAGTACTGTCAGTGATCGGAGCTTACCCTCATTAAAATACATGTAATGACCAGTTTGGTTTCCAGGGGTTTTTGCAGGTAAGGTGATAGCCTTGATGAAAATTCATGCCCCTGGCATGCCTAGGTGTGCTTTAAATTGATATGCACCTGTGAAGTTCCCATGGCCTGTCAGGATCCACGATGTGTATCTTGGGCCGATAGGTCTCCTTCTCTAAGGCCTTGGTGTTGCTGACGGTGCTGAAGGCCAGGATATTCCGGCAAGACCAGCCACAGGCTGTGTCTCCGATCAGCCTCTTGGAACTTGGTGTAAGAGAACAGAAATTCAGGCAAGGGTTCTGTCACTGTCTGTGTCCGGTTGCCACGGACTCACCAACAATTGTAACAAATTCCATCTCACCTTGTCATGCTTCTGCTTGCATTGAGGACAACTTCATTCTCCTGTCTGGGGGATTGCGTACAATGTACTTCAGGACCCCTCCATTTTGATTGTTATAACAAAACTGATCAGTCCCCAAAAGACACGAAAGAGTGAAGCCACGGGTAATGTTTTGTCTATTATCTTCACCTTTTTTGTGAATTTAGAATTGTAAATTGTGAGAAAATCTGACATTTTGACCAAAACCCAACCATCCTTTATCATCATGATCATGTCTATGTCACATGTCATGGGTATTAGGCCAATTAAAATTAATTCCTTGTTTATCATCACCACCCGACCGGATTTTCCCTACTGCCCCGACTTTTTATATTTGATATTTCCAACTTTTAAACTAATTTCCTGCCCTTTTCAACCTTGCAGGTGTGTCTGCACCACAAAATGATCTTGTGGGTTTTCGTTCTTTTTATTCTCTAGTCTTACTCTCAACCATGACCAATCTGATCATGCTGTGTTATGATATATCATTACATGGAACACTCAAGTATTAAAATACTGTAGAAGAAAGGTATTTTTAGACTATCTGAAAAGTTTGGAAAATACTAACTTGAAATATCAAATATCAAAAGTCCTCCCAGCCCGCAAATATAATTTTGAGTGATGATAAACAAAAAATTATAAGAAGCCTTACAAGAACAGGTTCCCAATAGGGCCTACACAATCCCTGTTAATCTGCATGTATTAATACTATGATCTGATGATGTAGGCTAATGATCAGATGATGCTTAAATCTCCGACTTTCACGTGACTTTACTTCCCTTTTTAAACGATGTTTCACAGCGTTGAATAAGAAAGAAAAGGCAATTGGCTATTGGCAGAATTATCTACAAATCGTGCATTTCGTACAGAAACACAGACTGAGCGATCGCACATATCGACCGATCGCGCCCAACATAACACCGTGTACGAAACTTGACGAACAAAGCAAAATGGCATTGGCAAGGCCAAGACCCCCAAGACAAGTCTGAACTTACCACAAATTTGCATCAGTTTTGGGCCATTCTGTCACATAAACAAGTTCCATTATGAGTCTAGACGAGTAATTTCAAAACTATGTAATTATAACCTATAATTTCAAATTCAAGAGAGAAACAAATATAAAGTTTAACGAACACAGGCAAAGTATCAGAAGCGAGTCATGGGCGCTGCCATTTTGTCCTCCATTCGCTAACTGACTGCCAGTGCTTTATTTTTGTACAAGATGTTAGTTTTGAGAAATTCAAATATATTCAAATGTCTAAACATTAAACAAAATAAATATAAATAATCCAGAGAGAAAGGGTTGATGAATTTGGAATATAGAGATGTGAAATGAGTTTTCAATCTCGTAAGACTCTTGAAAAATAGTCTTACTGAACGAGGTGTATTTTCCTGCGATAAATAGTGTCTAGTTTCTTTTCTGATCAAGTAGTAAAACCACGGCATCCAGCTCCTTCCAAAGGGGGTACTGTCTACTGTTGAGTATGGCCGCGGGATTTT